GAAAGATTAGTGAGTAACCTAGATAGAGAAATAATCATAAAATAATTTGTGAAAGTTTGTTACTGAGAAACAGTATGGATTTGCTGTAGTAACCAGAATATAGAATTTTTGTCTAAGATATTCCTTGTTTTAATAAATGATTCTTATGAGTAGTTTATAAGTGTTGTTTTACTGACCCTGAGATGTTGCTCATTTATTGTTATTTTATGAATTTGATCACTGTTGACTTGCATGCTGTAGCTGTAAGTAAACTCTAAATCCACTTTCACTCAACTGCTTTTTTTTAATGCCTGTTTGATTGACTGATTTACATATTACCATTAAGAATCTAATGCCAAAGGGAAAAAACGTGGCCTGTTCAGTAACAATTCTCCTTCAGGGTGTTCTGTGCACATTTTAGGGAAGAAGGTGTGTCTCGAAGGAAGTACGACCATTTTAAATCTGTCTCTAGCCTTCTATACTACCTGAAACTTCAGTCAAAAAGAATGTGCAAGGACGACATTTATTGCAAATATATTAGCATCCCTTCAAATAGGGTCTATTCGTTTTCAGGGCTAGATTCTGTGCAGGCAAACAACTTGTGTATAATTGGTTCAGATCCATTTTTATAGCAAGTACTTTGTATTTATTGTAAGCATATTTGTAACTGCTTTCCTTTTCTGTTGTATTTTGGTCTTGTCTGAGAAGAGTGTGACTGCACTGAATCCTGGGGTGGTTGCATCATGGAGGAAACGGGGTATGTCCAACTATCAGTAATTTGAGGGCTCTAAAATGAGTTCATAGTTTACGTTATGATACAAATATTTATATATTAGATTTTATCTATGTGTTTTAGTGCTAATAAATGAAAACCTCAAGGTGATTGGAAGAACCCACATACAGAGATCGTTGATTTCTGTTTTTCAGCAGTTCCCCCCCTCTACTCTTCCCATTTTAGGAAGATGTGTTCACACAGAGCTTACAATTTTGATGTGCAGTGCAGTGTTATCACTAATGCTATGAATGTTTACAGTGATTCAAAAGTAAAGAAAGTACGTTTCCGTAAGATAAATCTAGTTATACTTTTTATATGCACCTGAAAAGTATTATAAAAGAGTTTTGGTAAGTAATACTTCCATTTCCCTCCTAAATTTCAATTAAATTTTTTTCCAGTGACCTCAAAGTTCAAATTTTGAGTGCACATTGACATCAGATCTCTTTACTTCTGTTCTAGTGAATAGAAGTAGAAAGCTGAAAGTTCTTGTGATTTCAGCAAGTGCTCTCAATCTTTGGCTCAATGGTCAGTGAATTCTGAGGGTGAAACATATCTTTATGGGAGCAGATGAGGTTTCCTTGCCCTCTACCTATGTATGCTGCCGAAGATTCTTTTCTCCACTGTAAGCAACTGATTAGAGAAGAATAGCTTCTGAAACATAGGTTTTTGAGTCTTTAATTGATCTTTTCCTGTGAGAACTTGCGGTCACTGTGAAAGCTTGCTCATTTGTGCAAGAATTCTGGAGAGAATTAATTATAAAGAAGACAAAAGGAGCTTACTTTCTTCATATGAGGTACTTGGAAATCGGTCACTTCAGTAGAATTATTGTGTGGCTTAATTGATCCTTTCCTGTAGACTTGTAATTGCCAGCCACCTCATGAACGCAGTGCAAAATTATTCAGTAAATTTAGTTTGTTTCCTTCCTATGGTGAACTTGTTAGAGTATCTGTCTCAAATGGAAATATCGGTATATCAGTAGAGGTAGCTATATAGTTTATCTTACTAGATAAAGTAATAGTAACGAATTACCAGGAGCAAGTAATTTTTTTTTCAATGTACCCAGGAAGTGGATTTTGTAGTTGTAATAGACTAATTCTATGGGAAACTGTCAGCTCAGTAGCGGTCAAACAAATCAAATGTTAGGAGTTATTGGGAAAGGAATAGAGGACGAAATGGAGAATATCATTATGGCACTGATTGCCCCCATCTTTAATAGTGTGAGCAGTTCTGGTCTCCAAATCTCAAAACAAGCATAATAAAATTGGAAAATCTAGATAAAAAGTCAGAAAGGTTCTTCAAAGGCATTGGACAGTTTCTACGTGAGAAGTGACTGATAAAACAAGATTTCGTCATGCTGGGAAACAGAAGGGTAAGAGGGCATATGAAAGAAGTCTGTAACATCACAAACAGCACAGGAAATGATCACTGTCTCTTCCAGTGTAAGAACTAGGGAGACATGAAATGAAGCTAGCAAATAGGTGGCAGAACAGAAATGATGAAATTATTCTTCTACCAATCTGTAATTAAGCTGTAATTAAACTCCTTGCTTTGGCAGCTGGTATATATTTAGAGAGACTGGAAAAATTCATGGAAGAAAAGTACAATGGAGGTTATCAAATAAGGCAGAACAAGGCTTCCTGAGAAAGTCCTTGAGCTTAAAATTTTTGGAAGTGGGAAGAATATTCTGCAAGTAGTAATACGGTGCTCTGTTCTCTGCATTTCTCTGGCTGTATTTTCTAGGCCAAAGCCAGAGATGGCATATGGCCAAAGCATATTTGTAGTCTGACGCTGTACAGCTGTTCTTCTGGTTACAGATACTTTTAGATTAAAAATTATCCCTATTAACAGATGGCTTGAACAGTTTTGAAACCCTGGCATACAGTCAGGGACCTGGAATGTAATCTCTCATTTAAACTGAAGCTGCAGCAAAAGTAAACCAAATAAAACACTGGATTATACAATCAGGAAGGTGCATAGTAACTTTTATGATAACGTATAATAGTTTCACTTGATTAGGAGGATTAGAAGACTACAGGTTCACTGTACCATAGATCCGTGTAACAGGGAGAGTTACTAAAAATGCAAAATCTTTTAAAACTTCTTCTTTTGTTCTGCTTTTACTTTTGAGATATAAGACCGAACTGACATACACAGTGGTTGTAAGAAACTGGGATTTACAGTATTTAAAAAGTGTTGTGACCCCCTCCTCCCCCTTCTAGTAATTGTTGGTATTTCAAGGCATTTACTCAGTTGATTCTTTGCTGTCTTAGGGTATACCATTCCAGGAAATTCTCCAAGTGCAGCATTGCAGAATACAAAGAATTTTTGCTTCGTGGGGGAGGTGCCTGTCTCTTCAACAGGCCAACAAAGGTAATAAATGTGTTGGCAGTGACCTGCTCTGCTTTCATTATAATGAAAATAAAATCGTTTCACTAACACCCATCTTTCTTATTCAAATGTCTCTGTGGGTATTATAGATTTTCCTGAGGTTATCTGTAATTAGCTGAATGTTCTTTCCCAGGCAGAGAGATAACATTTCAAAATAATTTTGAGAGGAGTCACGTGACTTGTTTTCCATCAATTCTTTAGGCTCATATAATGACAAATCTTGCAGTTTGATTCACACAGCTAGACACAGCCCCGTTCCGCACGAATACACTACTTATTAAGCTGGAAGTAGCGAAAAATAAATCCAGAGGTGAGGTCATAGCGAATGCTCCATGTCCTCTCAATTCTTGGACTTTGTGTATGAGTATATTGAGAAGAATGCCAGTTACCATTATAAATCAATAACTTGCTTCATATAAACTTTAGCAACTTGTGGTTATTATCCAACTTAACTTCATTTCAAGTCTACAGCTAATAAGCTTTGTAGTTTATAATTGTTTCCTTCTATCATCCGTCCATTGCTTCCTTTTCCTTTAAAACTTGTAAGGTCATAAATTTTTTTAAGTAAGGCAATAGTAGCATGGCATCTTTTAAAGCTGATTACTGTAAAAATATTCCATATGGCTCTTTTTGCAATGTAAGGTCAATCCAAGGTGTTAATATTCTATCTAATCATGATACCAAACTTGATGTCCCTGTAGAATTTAATGCCACGAGACTGTTAAGTTGTTCTCTTTACTGTGCTGTATCCCTTGGGAAATCACTTTACAAAATTGACTAAAAAATTTTGCTTGTTACTGTGTTTTTTAATCTTTTCCCAGGGTAGATTGTTAGCAATCTCTGCTTATATACGTAACTGTAAAATAGAATAAGTCGCAAGAAAGGAAAACACAATTTGATTTTGTGTCATTAAAATAGGGTGGTGGTGATCTAGTGTGGTAAAGTGAACAAATTGCCAAATTGACTGCATATAGAATAAAAATCTGGTTTACTTCAGTGAAAATGTTCCCAGGAGAATGGTTGAATTACCTCTTTTTGTCTGTTATTTGTATTAGTGTTTCACAACTTTGAAATTCAAGGACTATTTATCCTTCTTGAAAAAAAAAACATACATGGTTTTGAATCCTGTTATTTGGAGCCTGGGAGGTAATGTGAGAAATAGTGTATTTGGCCATTAGATAAACAAAACGTGGTTGTGTTATATAGTCATCTTGATCTTATTTTTAGTTACATTGTTTTAATTAAATTCTGACAGGTATGAACGTTTGATTAACTGTCTGTTAATGCTATAGGAGTTTCTGGGTGTTTGTGGATTGTTTGTTTTTGTTTGTTTTTGTTTTTTTTCCCTCCTTGCAATTTTCTGATTGACCCCCTTCTGTTGTCTTGTCTTAGCTACAGGTCAAATAATCAGGTCTGCTTGATGGAGAAGTGAATTTCAGGTTCAGAATAAGAGATCCTGCTGTTTCCACTGAAGTATAGTAGTTACAATGGCTTATAGAGGAAAAAATGAAGTTATAGTTTTTTTGAATCATGTTGACATTGCTAGTGAAGAAGAGTACATGTGGGTGTTGCCTCACTGTAGTTTTGCCTCTGGCACCCCAAACTGTAGTACTATTGATTACCTCTGCAGTTTTCTTTTTGATTAGGTACTATTGTTTCTCATTTTTTCAAAGTATCTAAGAAGAATTCCCTCCAAGTTTATCAGTTGTATATACTGTCTTTTTAAATGTTACATTTCATATCTGGATGATTTTCAACAGCTATAATGCGATTAAGCCCTTACAGAAGGAGCATCATGTTTACTCCCATTTTTCACATATATCAAGCTGTTTATTTCTCTGATCTCATCTTAGTTGAGCTTTCAGCCATGTTCAAGTGATGATCATGTTTCTGTAGCTAATATCCCAGTTAACTTGGACTTTATTCTTAACAGTTCTGTACGAAAACCTTATATCAAAAGCAGACAAGGATTTTTGCAAAATTATTTCTATGATAGGTCCGAAAAATCATCTTTAATTTTCTTTTAAACAAAGTTATGTCATGTGAGACTAGTGTAGAATCTGAAGAGGCTTACAAGGTAGCCTGCTGCCTATGAAAAATAAAAATGTAATTCCACAAATTTGACAGATTTTCTGTATAAAAAATGATGGAGAAATGATAAGAGCAAGAAGAGTTTTAAAAGTGACTTTGAGTGAATTAAGCTCTTCTCTATCTTCAATATATAGAGCTTAGCAATCACAGAAAGTATCAGGTTGTTGCTAACAGTAGGTGTCGCAAGAGTTAAAACAGAGCAAGTGAAGAGGTGAAAAAAGGGAATTTGAACAATAACAATGTAAATAACAAGAAACTGGTTAAACATTGTATTTGACAAATGAGTAATGAAATTTAAATAAAAATTGGTAAAGACTGCTATGATATAGCTCAGTGCATAATGTAATAACTGTCCCTTAGAAAAGCAGAATCTAAAAAAACGCATAGGACCTTGAGATCTTTAGCTTAATGCTAGGGCCTAACAATAGTTTTCATCTTATTTAAGAAATATATATACCTATACACGCACGCACACACACACACACACGTGCGCGCGCGCACACACACATACACACATGTATATGCTTGGATTAGCACTCAGATTTTCTTTCTTGCCTCCATCAGAAAACACAGTCTTACTTGTGAAGTAAGAAGAACTTGTGAAGAGCTGATTTCCTGAATATTAATCAGGGAATATAATTTTTCTCATTTAATTTTCATCCTGAACTATAGAATTTATCTCTGTTGTGTATCTCTCACCCTAGAAATAACTATGTAGCACTATCTATCTGTGGTTGTGTCACCCTCTTTTAACTTAAGGATAAGACACACAGAACTTCCTTTCGGTAGTGTTTCGTACTGTTTATTATTTTCATGTGCAATGTATTTCAATGCATTACACTGGAACAGGCAGTAACTAATGGCATGAGCAAGTATAGGTGCCTGTGTAAATCCTAGAGATCATATTACCAACTAGTTTCTTAAAAGGAATTGTTAAAGAAATGAGAGTGTATAGAACTGAAACTAAGTTCAAATGTTATCCCTCTGAGTATTATTTTCTTAACTCTTATGTTTATGATCATTTTCTGAGATCAATATTTCCTCAAAGAGGATTGGGAATCATGATTTAGCTGAGTATCTTTTATGTCTGCGCAATTCTAACTAGTTGCACTTGAAAACCATGCTGCATTCCCTATCTCAGCAGCAAAGGGCGTAGTCTTTGTGGGAGGGTGGCTCAGTAGCATTGCAGGCATGGGCTGTGTCTGACAAAAAAAGTCAATGGATACTGTTTTTATTCTTACTTTGATGGTGGGGTTCTTTTGCTTTCAGCTGTTTGAAACTACTGAGTGTGGAAATGGGTATGTAGAAGCAGGAGAAGAATGTGATTGCGGTTTCCGAATGGCAAGTAAAGAGTTCTTATGTATCATTCCACGAGTCTTTCTCACAAAACATATTTAAAAGGTTATATGGTAGGTAAGGGAGCGGGGAAGGTTGTAGGATGAACTCTTTTTTAACCTTTGTTATGGAGCAGCTTGATCAGAGGACTGTGTTAAAAATATTTTTCACAGTGGGAATGAGTGCAAAGACTTGAATGTATCCTCAGAATAGTCTTCCTGTCATACTGGTGAGAAGATGTAGCTGTTCCCAACATTTTTTGAATCACTCTGTAGAAGTGGTTACCCCTTTTCTAATCTGCACTTTGGAGATATGTGCCTGTGTTCAGACAGTATGAGGAAACTGTCATTTTCTTATTTTTTTGTAGAAATATTCCAAGAACTTTTCTGTAAAAATCTGCCCCTCAGGCTTGAGTCCTGGTTCAAGTATTCAAATATAATCACATATGTAATTAGTTTTCATAATCTCTGTTCTACATTTAATGCAATTTTGCCTAAGACACATGCACTGGCACAGGCTACTCCAGACCTACATGAGGCTTCAGAAGGTGTGAATCCTCTTGAGGCTATAGCGTGTATCACTGTTTTCCCTTTAGTTTAATATATGAGCAATGCAAAGGATTCTTCCAGCTGATGATTTCTAGTCCTCAGTGCTGAACTGAATCTCTTGTCTGCTGATACATGATAGTTCTTAGAAAGATTGGGAAGGATGAATTATTTTAAATGGAGAGCTAATAGATCCCTTAATATTTTCTTCAGGAATGCTATGCAGACTGCTGTAAGAAGTGTTCCCTTTCTAATGGAGCTCACTGTAGTGATGGACCCTGCTGTAATACATCATGTCTTGTGAGTGGTGTTACAATGTATCTACTGTCTCTGTTCAGTTGTCCATAGAAGTCACGTCTAGCCTGTTACAGTTAGTGTGTTTTCTGTAGAAGGGAGAGAAATAGCTTAAATAGACTAAGACTGTGTTATTTGAATGATAATGTGATTACTGCCTAGAATATAAAGAGAATAATAGATTGGATTAGGTATCTGTTCATGTAGAAAATGGCTCTTATATTTGTGTCCTTGTTGATGAAGAATGTTATACTGCAGTTCTGTTTTCAAGTATAGCAGTTTTTCAAATACCGGTGATGAAAAAAATTACCCTAAATTTTCAAAGTAGTTGTATACTTCAGTTTTAGCCATTAAAAGACTATGAAACTGAAATCTTGCTAAACACTTTGAAATAACTCTTGAGATTGTTTTGTCCTGTTGTTAGCCAAGCAAAAAAGGCAAATATTTGTGAGTGCAGTATTTGCAGAGTATTAGAATGAGGAGTCATTCCAAACAGGAGCATTGAATTTTGCTTTCACCTAAGCTTCATCCTCCTGAACTGTATTTTTCATTTTCTAGTTTTTTCCACGAGGCTATGACTGTCGATATGCGGTGAATGAATGTGATATTGCAGAGTTCTGCCCTGGAGATTCTGGCCAGGTGTGTATGCAGAAGCTTTCTCTGTTTATACTGTTGAAGTTTGTTAGCGCTCGTTTTATGTCAAGTTAAGAAAAAAATTCAGATTAACAAACTGCACTCTCATATACTTGCCAATATCTGTGAAGATTTTTTTTTTTTTTCCTCCTAAAGGAATTTTGTAAACATACAAATAAACTATCATAAGCTGGAAAAAAATTATCTAAGTGGACTCAAAATAAGGCTTACGTTGTTTTGCTTGGTTTTTAAAACTCATGTGGTTCTGTACGTGTATCCCTATAGTATTTGTGTTAGACGTCCTCATGTACTCTTTGTGTGGTCCACAGCATAAATATGAAGCGTATACTGCAAACATGGATGGATTCAAATGTAGTAACAATAATTTTATGAATTTAAATTGTTTAAAATATAAATGGAGAAATTGTAGACAATTATAACTAGGAGTGAAGTGTTATGTTTTTGAGAATGCAGATAATTTTTAGAGTTGTGAATCTTAAGCGTTTCTCATGCGGAAACATTTGGCTAGTAGTTGAAAGTATAGGTAACAAACAGCAGCGAAAAAGGCTATTGTCATTGTTGGCTAGATAGTCATTGTTTGGTTCATCTTCCATTTTCATAGAAACTTTGACTCTTTAGGTCATATATGCACCCTTTCAATATTGAGTATTTAACTTCAAGATTGTACAAGAACTACATAATCCTGCTACTACATCAGGTTCTTAGCTTTGAAAAAAATATGATTCAGGGTAGATCACGTGGCACTCTCTCTAGGGATTTACTGTAATTATAGATTAAAATAAATTCACAGTAACCTCTTTTTCAGTTATCATTGAGACATGCACACTTACAGATATGTAGCTGTTGGTGAGATTTTTATTATAAATCTGTCGCTGTATAGATGGAGGCTTCTTAAAGGGAGGGAGAAGAGGTTTCTTCAGCCAGAGAAATTATCCACGCTGTTGGCTAATATGGTACATTGCAGCAGCATGCCCTTTCAAAATCTTCACCAGTCCCTTTTTGATGGAGAAAAGCTTTGAGAACCCAACAGTCTGTTCCTACCTTTAGTAACCTGAGGCTTCTGGAGCTAATGTCTTGTTCATACTGAAAAAATGTCCATGCCAAGAGAATGCAACAGTGAACATGATCATAAAAACCACAGCTCTGGCAGCTGGAAGCAACGGAGTGGTAGGCTGCAACTAACTGCTTGCAGCTCTCTCAGTGGAACTGAAAGGAATGCAGTGGCAGTGCTGCACAGGAGAGCAAATGTGGTCCCAGCATTAGTTACCAAATATCCTGTTACTTAGCACATTTGTGTTGCCCTGTATCTTGCCTCATGTCCTTAATTTCCTTGAAGAGCGTGCAGTGAAGCTAGAATAAAGAATAAAACCTTGTATTTCATGGCTCATGTCTTAGGTAGGATCGCATGCAGGAAAGGATGTTCATTTTTTCCATCGGTATTAACTGCTGCAGATTCCTGCAGTAATTACAAATTTCAAGGCCTGTTAGTTATCTTGGCTGCTTTATTATGTTACCGACTTTGTGTATTGTATTTGTGTATGTGTATTTCTCTGAACCTGAGAAAAAACTTCTTCACTGTGAGGGTGACAGAGCATTGGAACAGGTTGCCCAGAGAGGTGGTGGAGTCTCCTTCGCTGGAGATATTCAAAACCCGTCTGGATGTGATCCTGGGCAATATGCTCTAGGTGACCCTGCTTGAGCAGGGAGGTTGGACTAGATGATCTCCAGAGGCCCCTTCCAACCTAAACGATTCTGTGATTCTGTGATTTGTCTTCTAAAATCTGAAAAATCCATATGTGATCCTTTGATACATTATTACTGTATACCCAATAAAAAATATATACTTTTTTTCCCAGTGTCCGCCAAATCTTCATAAACAAGATGGATATGCCTGTGATTCTAATCAGGTATGTAATGTTTTGAAACCCCTGCATATCAGCAAATAGAAAGTGACCAAATAAAAGTTGTGGGCGGGGTTTTTTAACCCTATCTTCCATATTTCTTCATGAGTTTGATCTTATGAACATGGATGTTGTTTGTCCTTTGTGGGCTCTATGAATAGTAAAAATTTCTAGTTTGAATAAAATCTACTTGGTATATTTACATTTTACAGGTAGATCTGTTATTGCACTGCATGTTAATAAGCTCTTTACAGCTATGTAAGTGAGAAGTATAAAGCAGCTGCTGAAATTTAAGTAAGTATTAGACACTAGAATACTTTGAGGATCTGGGCCAATATGTGTCCTCTCGTTCTGACAGCCACCCAGTTCATGAAAGCTGTTATGCATCCCACTATGTGGGTGAAGAATCAAAATGAGACGTGTTGGGGGGAGGGGAAGGGAAAGAAACAATGTTCAGATCTCCTTGTTAACATGTTCTGTTTTGTTTAGGGCCGTTGCTATAATGGAGAATGCAAGACAAGAGATAATCAGTGCAAATATATCTGGGGATCTAGTAGGTTGAATTTAACAACCTTAAATATATTTTATCTCCAGTTCATTCTCTCCTTTGTTTTGTATTTTTAGGCAGTTGTATTTTTAGTGTTTTTATTTTTTGTTCTTGCTACTTTCAATTGAAATTTTCTGCTTAGCGGAATAGAGATTACAATGACAAACTGTGACGTGATTGCCAAGTGCAAAAGTGCAAAAGTGCAAATTGTAAGCGTACCAAAATATTGGTGACTTTGAGTTAATGTTTCTGGAAAAAATATTTTATTTTCAGGATTTTTTTTTCTTATGGTTCAAAACAGAAGAGTGAGGGTTTTTTGTTTGTTTGCTTATTTCCTTATCCTAGCTGTGGTTCATGCTAAAGATGTTCTGCCTTGCCTCACTTTTCTAAATCATTCTACAGCCAGGGAAAAAACCTATGTTAATCCCAGGTCTAGCTTAGTACATTCTTAGTACATTAGTATGGATTTAAATATACATAGTACAAATTTAAGCCCAGATGTGTGGAGTAAAATAGAATGATAGTTGTGATGAATTTTGCTTGCATCTGAGAAGGAATAAGTGCTCTATGTAATGACTTTGCGATGCAGCAGAGCAGAACTATCAGGCTGCACTGTACATTAGCACTTAATGTTTTCTTGAGTGTTTTTTTCTAAATATAACGACTGCTGCCGATATTGCCAATTTGTGATAGAAGGATCTTTGTGGGGGGTGTGTTTTACCATTTATTGTTTGTCTTATGCTACATAAATGTAAAATTGAATGGCGAAAGTGCTTTCTTTGTCGTCTTTTATTTGAGCTATGTGCTGGCATCTCACACATGTATTGATAATATTAAAAGAATAGATGTTTTTGTTAACTAATTTCTTTGTATCTTACACAGTGTGATATTTTAAATTATTTGGATTGTCTTCTGTACAATCATTTTACTGAAACCACTCTTATTTACCTTTAACATTTTATCTTCCTCTATGTAATTGAGGTGCTTTTCTTCATTTATTTTCTAATTTATCTTCTGAAAAATCAGATTGGTTTGTTAGTAAATAATTGTGACTTTAAGTCATCAGTTTGGAAAGTCTGCATGTGCTCCTTTTTAGGAGTAGAAATCACAGTCTGACTGTTCAACATTTTTTTCTTTGTGACCTCCCTAAAAAATAAATAAATAATTTTTTAACTTAATGTCACAAAGGTGCTCATGGTATATGTCATATATAAAAATTTTTGCTGTCCTGAAGTACAGATCAGGAATAATCGCAGTGAAGACAACTAGTTTAAATCTACGGGCAACTGTTATAAATGGGAATAAAATTAGATATATTCAAGTGGAGACCATACTGTACAGACTGTCACTGTAGAGATTGCTTTTATAAAATCCAAAGCAAATATTAAACATCAGGGATTATTTTTGAAAAGCTGTCTGTAGGTGCCAGCAGTTCAATTTGCTTTAGGTTCCCACTGTAGTCACTGAAAAATACCATCTGTGTACATACATTTGTGGTTAGATTTTAAAATGTTGTATTAAAACATATAGAAAATTGCTGGGAAAGAAATTATGTGAGTTTTTTGTAGCTCTTGGGTCATCAGTGGACAGTACATTCCTTTTTCCTTTCTTCATCAACAGAGTCCTCAGGATCTGACAAATTTTGTTATGAGAAGCTCAATACAGAAGGCACAAAAAAGGGAAACTGTGGGAAGGATGGAGACCGATGGATTCAGTGTAGCAAACAGTAAGTTCAGCTTCGTAGAGATGATTTGCCTTTTAAGATTAATATGGTCTAATATTTTCTATTTTTTTCATGATCATTTCAACAGTTTGTTTTACGTTGTTTTTAACGTAAACACAAGATTTCCATTTCAAAAACGTTCCGTAGCTCTGAAAAATCCATGGGTGACTCAAGAATGCCGTTCTAAAGAACTTCCCACACCCAAGTTTTCAAATAGATACACTGTCAGTTTAAGGCTTTCAGAGGAGCTGGGGGACAGGGCAGCATAGAGTCACAAGTTCCTAATATACAGACACCTCAGATTTGGTAGGGTTGAATTGGGTTGCAAATGTTAGGCACTGGTTTTGCTTGCAGAAATGGCTCTGGAATTGATACCAGATTGTGCTATTTCAAGTTTGTTCCAACCTTTATTTAGGCCAGAGAGGAGCCATCTCTGACCTTAGGAGACGTTTGGATGCTATAGAGAAAATGGCTGATTCATTGTGTATGATCATGACTGGATGAATATTTGGTTAAATTTCCTTTTCGTGTCAGTGTTCATTCATGAATAGACTTAAATTTCTCCTGATTTATTTACTGTCTTTAATTTTGTAGTGTGCATGAAAAAAATTCAGTCTCTGAATGGTTTGTTTCTTCTTCAACTATTTGATGTTTGTCAAAATGGTATTATATTTTGTTTGGGTATTATGTGACTAAATTTTAAGAGAGGATCATGAGGAGATAAGTTTTTAATGGATATTCTTTGTAGTCGTTTAAAGAATACTGCTCTGCTGGTGTATATATATATATTGTGAATCTCATTTGCAGAAAAGCTTTTTTTTTTTGTCGGTTAAGAGATGCACAGATACGGTCTAGCTGAGGAGCCACTTAAAATCTATGTAGTTTTAACAAATACCATTTCCAGCTGTTTTTATGACTTTGGACAATTAGAGCAAGAGATTTTAAGCTGATAGGCTGCTAACAAGGATTGCACATATAAATTGACAGCAGATAAAATAGCCCTTTTAGCAAAATTCGGATGCACACGCTGCATATCAATGAGTATCATTATGGTTGAAGTGTTGTCCTGCAAGGGGAATAAAATGCAATTAAAAATTCAAACTCCACGTTAGCACACAGCGTCCAAGTTACTAAAGAACCATAATATAGTCTAGTATGACAAAATTTTGTACATTTCAGCCCCTTTTTAATTATATGGTCTTTAGAGCACAGATAAATTTTTGTTTATGCCAACATTAGTAAATACTGTGTTCTGGCACAGTAGTTTAAACAACTACTTTTTTCTGCCTTTGCCATTAATGTTTGCTGGTTAATGTCAGATGTATACTATTATGTACACCAAATAATATTTGTGTTGTATATTGAAAATGTATCACCCACTTACAGTAATATGTTATTAATTGTGACCAGAAGCAGCATTATCAGTCTTTCTTTTTGTAAATTTACTTTACATTACTCCAGTAACTTTTTGATTTATGTTTTCATTTTACAGTGATGTTTTCTGTGGCTTTTTGCTCTGCACAAATCTTACTAAAGTTCCACGAGTTGGTCAAGTTCAAGGAGAAATAATCCCAAATTCTTTTTATCACCAAGGGCGCATAGTGGACTGCAGGTAAAAGAAAATAATGCAGTGTTACAAGCTGATTTTTCTCTGTCAAATCTAATCAGATTATGATAGAGATAAATGTAAAATGGTATGATTTTTAAGTAACTAATAACTTAAAACAAAGTGGTATTTTTTTCTTTTGATTAAAAAAGAAAAGAAAAGAAAAAAAAAAAGACTAATACTCCATATTTGAAGTGTGTGAAACATAGGTTGCCCTCCTGATTACTCTCTCTGGGCCAGGAGCAGAATTTCATGGCCAGAGTTTAATGCTCAGCATTACGGCTTTTCTGTAAAAATAAATTAATAAATGTTCTCTGTAGTTGCCAAAGATCCACGTATTAAATGTAATTTTTTTGAGTATTGTATTCTCACAGAAATAGTTTTAGGAAAAGTGAAGGCTGAGGGGGGAGGGCATGGTGAAGAGTTGTGGCAGGATAAGAGGTTAAGCTACAGATCCTTTAAAGGTAAGTGGTTTTAGTCTACTGTCATGCACAATACTGCATTTGTATTTTAAAGACATTGGCAACATCACTGTCATGCTAAGAACATTCTCTTGCATAGTTAGAACCTGAGTGAACAATGGGTTTTAATTCTTCTGTTATTTCCCTTTTTGTTTTGGTTACTTCTTTCCCCATGGGAAGTTTTGTTTAGCATTTTCTAGCAAAAGGATTCTGCAGCATTAAAAAAAACCCTTGGCTCATCAAAGACTTGATTAAAAAAAAAAACAAAAAAAAACAAAGGTGCCCTTTTTGAGTATTTAAGCCATTATCTAGATTTCTTTTTAGTCTGTCAACTTGAATACTTGCTCAATGCTGCAGACAGACAGAAAGACTATAACTTTATTCAATCTGTTTGTATGCTTGGAAGAGAGAAAGCTGTGAGGTTTTTAGTATCTAGACTGACATATTTAATACTTTCAAAAGATTGTAGTCATAATACTAATAATATCTTAAAATTTGTTTCTCCTAGTGGTGCTCATGTTCTTTTAGATGATGATACCGATTTAGGTTATGTGGAAGATGGAGCTCCATGTGGTCCTCACATGATGTGTCTGGACAAAAAGTGCCTGCCAATTCAGTCCTTGAACATAAGCAGCTGTCCCATTGGTTCTAATGGAAAAGTCTGTTCTGGTCATGGGGTGAGTCTGTACTGCATGTTAGAGGCTAAACCTCTTTGGCTGTCTCTGCTATACCGTACTTTAATATACTTTGTGGAGTTCTCTACCTGAAAATATATTTAGGACCTGTTGATCTCCTGAAAACAAACATTAGATTCTCTGGAAGACTGCCATTCTGTTACAACATGAGAAGTATGGATAAAGTTTCAGGAAGCAAGGTTTTTAACCTAGTTCTGTAATTATATCCAAAGTGTTGTTTCTGTTACTAGCTAGAAAGAGCTGTGATGTCAGTTATTTTTAAAGAGTTTCTGTAATGTATTATCCATATTTTAAGCTACTTGCCATTCTTCAGTTAACCTTTTTCCTGCATAATAACACCTTTATAAAGTGTTCTTTTGTTATGCAGTTATAGCTGGTGACTTGAGTAATTACATTCTAAACTATTGGACCTCAACAGAAATGACATACACTTCTTGAATATATGCCAAGTTATCATTTTACATTTAGGCACATTGCATCTATCATTTTGTCCATAAGTCCATTAGTCTAGATGGTAGGATGTTTTGCTGGACAAGTTCATTACTCCATGTCTTAACTGTAATATTGATAAAACTTCCATTTTAGGCTAGCTATACTTCACGTTTTCCTTAAGGAGAGGAGGAGCCACTGTGGGATTCAACTGACTGCTGCAGTTCTTACAGATACTTGCCTAAAGGGCTAGATTATATGCAAGAAAATTTTTTCCTTATGTGTAATTGAAGATGCAAAGTGAATTTGAGCCCCGCAAAGGAAAGTCAGCTGGGTTCAAGAAGAAAAACTTTCATTGGAAAGTAGAGGAAATAGTAGGGATATCGAAATTTTCTTGGCACTTTTGGAGGGTGGTATGAGTGATGAGAGAAATGTGCTTCTTCATCTCTTTTGCTCTGGATGATTCTGATTCACAGTTTTAAAAGAATACTTTAGTTCAACAAACCTGTCAAAAAATGCATTTTATCTTCATCTTTCTAGAGAAGATTTTTCATTGAATATTTCAAGGTGCAGAGTGGGTTAAAAGTTAAATTAAAAAAAGTCAAGTGCTATTTACTTCTCAGCGTTATTTGTGTAGGTTACTTAGTTTATGGGTTTTCTTGACGTTATGTTCCAGCGTCTAAAAGACATGCTTAACTGATCTCTAATGGTTGACTTCCCTTCTAATCCCATAATCAAAACTTCATTCTTTGTTTTGTGTCTATTTCTCATGTCATGCTTTTTTCTTTAATCACTTCTTTCAGCAACACATTCCGTGTTCTTCTTCATGTGGAAAGCTTCGCTTGCTAGCATCTGAGCGCATTCAGAGGGTTAAAGCAAACTTTCAGGTTATTCATGTATTAAATTCTTTCTAAACACTCAGTGTTACTGTTAAAATACATAAGTGGATACATTTTATTCTGTGAATAAAATACCCAGTTAGATGTTAAATGAACTTAATAAAATGTGGTAAAAAAGCAATTTCTGTCATTTTTTTTTCTTTTCTTTTCCAGGTGTGTAGTAATGAAGCCACTTGCATTTGTAATTTCTCCTGGGCTGGGACAGACTGCAGCATTGATGATCCTATCAGGGATACCGGTAACAAGAAGGATGAAGGACCCAAGGGTTTGTGTGATTTCAGTTTTAGATTCTTTCAAATAATTATGACATTTTTCTGTTGGTACATGGTAGTAGAATTAGTGAGAAATACTGTACAGTCCTGTTTAGAACTAGATAGTAAAATTTCACTTCATTTAGATGATATATGTCTGTCTGCTTTGAGAACTGATAAAACTTGTATTTTCCTAGCTTACCTATTGGGAAGATTTCAATAGATAAATATATATACTTCCTGATTTTTTCTTCATCCCTTTTTCTTCATTCTTTACAATCTTTTTTTTTTTGGAATTGGAAGCTGACCAAAGTCCTTATCTTTTTACATGAGAATTCAGTACGTATCTGTTACCAGAGATTTTCAGTTCCCTTAGTTGTTCTCAGCTGTTTCAGAGAACTGTGACACAACAAAGGGGCAATTGGATGTCCCCAGTGAAGACAGCCTTGGTTTCTTGGCATCAGATTTCAATGGGAAGGAATTAATAATCGATTTAAGGACTTATGCTGTTCTTACAACCATTATTGCTTAGCGTTTTTACTCTTATGTACTTAGTAGATATTTCAACTATGTATGAAGTAGAAATACAAAGAGGAGCTATTAGGGGAAATAATTTGTCAGAAACATTTCTCAAAAAGGAAGAAAAGCACTTGAGATTCTCTCTGACTTCTCTGCCAAAGGATTTCTTTGGACTGCACTCTCCAAGGTTTTCATGTTTTCCTGTCAGCAGGACGTTATCAGACGTCAGACTACGTTTATCCAGAATTACGCGTTTAGAGATAAAGTTACCAATAAACAACTGAGAGACCCAAGTAAAATTTTCCTGCTGTGTCCCAGTTCTGGATCCCTCCATCTCTTCTGTAAAGCTGACTGAAAGAAGATAGAGGAGTTTAAAAACGTAGGCCTTATGGTGCGGACTGTAACTGATTACTCTTTATAATATCCAGGTTTCCAAGGGAGAGCAGAATTTTGGTAGGTACCTCCATAATGGCTCCAGTTCTGTCTTGTGTGCCTTATTCTTTTGCCCCTGAGCCAGAATGGTTCCAGTAGACCTTTACCAAAAGGCTGTTGAAGACGTCATCTTAAAACCAGTTCCCACTGTGAAGGAAGCTCTCTAGAACAGTCCATATGTGTATTAGGGAATCTTTGCAGGTACCTCCTGAGTCCTAACCCTACCATGGTTCACTTTAGCGTTGCCCAGTTGTGCCCCATCTTACAAAGCTGCTTGTCATACCATTTCCCATTAAAAAAAAAAAAATCATCCTAACTGTGGAATGCTGCTTACAGACTCTTTAAAAAACGAGAAGAGAGCACTATAGAGCTGGGTACTTCTCTTTCTGTGTGGATGAGGAGAGCACTGTTTACTGTTGTGACATTTAAGAGCACTTGAATTTTTTGTTGCATATTTCCAAATGCTGTGAGTAGGAAAAAAGATTCCCTCTGTAAAAAGGTTTGTAAGTAGGATATCAAAGAAGGTACTTTTATCTTGTTGGATTTTTGTAAATCAAATTAACTTCTGTAATTTCAGAATGGAAATATCTTTCTGAAAATTAATACATCAGTGCTGAAATATATAAAGGGGACAAAGTCTTAAATGAATAGTATCTGTATGGATTTCTGCCAGTAGGAAGAGACATAAAGTTTGGACTCTGTTTTTCAGTAGACTCCACTGAAAAAGGCAGAATAAATTTATATTACAAAGTGGTTCAAAGAACAAATTTAAAAGAATGGAATTATTTTTACTTATTTTGTTATATTAATTTACTGATGTTGAATCACCTAGAAATGAGTATAGGAGCTTGAACACTGACAGCTGATACCATATCTTTTAGCATGCTAAAAGAAGAATTCCTTTGTCAGAAAGGATACAGAAATAGTTTTCTGTAGTTCTGTAAAGCTCCAAGGTATTTAAGTTGTTTTCTTTAAGATTTTTTTTCCCTTTGTTACCAGCACTTCTTATGTCATATGCCAGCTTATAAATCTCTGGCATAAACCAAAATACTTTGTTTTTCCGTAGCCCTAAGTTTGCGTTTTGTTGACGTTTCAGAAGCTGAATACTCAGTTTCTTTGAGATAAATATAACATAGATTCAGTTGTAAGAACATCACATCTAAACTAAATGCAGCATCACAAAATGACATCTAGTGTGACCAGAATTCTAGGGAACATGCTAGGATTAGTGTAATCTGACTCTCAAAACCAGGACAAATCCATGAAATAAAGCCTGGATAGAATGGATAGCCACATCGCTGGAACTGATATCAAACCTTCAATTTGTGCAGTGCTGATTGTGGCTATTACACTTCCTATATATCAGTTTTCAAGAGGTTAAGTTCTTTCAAGTGGAATAGATTAATCTTTCCAGTTTTCTCATTCTTGAAATCGAACCATGTCCAGATTCAATAGAAAGGTGGAAAAAAGTTTTTAAGTATTGCACTGAGGGTGTACTTTTTTTTTTCTTTTTTCCATATTAGAAAATACTGGATTTATTTTCATCTTTAGATTAAGATACTTGTCATTTAGGGTTGATCTGACAGATACGTTTTTGCTTTCAGTTTCAACAGTTCAGGTATTTGAGGGATTGGGCTGAAGAGACGCAAGAGGGAGTTTTTACCCCTTAATATTTTTTCAAGAACATAAACACGAGCCTGGGAAAGCTTTCTATAGCTTACACAGTTTCTTTTATAGTTTTTGTTTTGTTTTCTTTGCTTGTTTTTGTTTTTGGTGCCTGTTTTTGGTTTTTTTGTATCAAATTCCTTCCATCTACTTCATGCCTTACACCGTGTACAGGAAGAAAGACTATTTCTTAGAAGTTGCCTCTTGATGATGAGCTATTCTTTGCAGTAAACTAAATACTTCTGTTGGAATTGCTACACTTTGATATTTTATCACTTAAGTAAACTAGACTCTTATTCCTTCATTGCGAGGTGCTTTGATGAAGAAAGATTTATTTAAGTCAATAACTTTTATGTGTTATACACTTCAAGGCTTTAACCTCTTCTGATTTCAGTTATTTACTGTGATTAATTAGTGTTGAAACCTAATGCTTAAACAGCACAAGAGCAGATAATTATTTAGAGAGATGTTATAAAGAATGATGTGAACATTCAAATAATTGTTTTAACAGTTTTCACACCATCAGTCCCTGCATTTTTCTTACTACGAGTATGTATAGCTAACAAATATTTCTTGCTCTTCATTTATTGTTATGAAAATTGATAATTGACTGCTGCTCCTGTTGCATTTTTGTTTGTTTTTTTTTCCAGACCTTTCCATCATCCATCAATTGCTTTTCCCTCCATACTGTATTTCAAGATTTAAAAATTAGCTGTCCATAATTATGTTGGTATTAATTCATGAGTCTCGAGTTAGTGTAAAGTCAGCAACCTACTGTATCCTGTACCAGCAGGTACCCACACTAGAGCAGTTCAGGATGGCAGCTGTTTTGGGAGGATAAGGAATTCTTGCTGTTAGTTTTTGGCTGCTGCAGAAACTTTGCACTAGGCTAGTGTTAGTCGCTAGTTCTGAAGTCAGTAGGACTCCATATGCGCACCAGTTTCTTCCTGTGCAATTCCATTCGCAGAATCGGGCCCTTGTTTGACTAGTGGAATGGTGTGTGTTTGTTTTAAAACAAAATTTATGTCTTAAGTGTGTGTGTGTGTGTGTGTGTGTGTGTCGGCGTGTGTATATTTATGAAATGGAAAAAAGGAAGAACCAGAACTTTCAAAATAGATTTTCCTCAGCATGAAGACTATGAAGTTTTTGTCCCTTAGAAAATTTCCCATCAGACCAAGAAGCTGCTCTCTGTAAATTCAGATGCTTGCTTACGGTCTGTTATGACTGAATGAATCTATCGTATTTTTAATCTTTTATAGCATGGGAAGTGTATAGATGGTTTTTCTCACAAGACTTTCCTTCAAAATGAAAAAAAGGTATTACGAGAGACTGTGAGAACATTGAAATTCCTGGGTGTTGCCTGAGGCACGTTTCTAGTGTAGGTTTTTCTGTTTAAAATTGGTGTTTTGGTAAGACAGAGATAAATACAAAGTCATATATATAAATACCGTAACAAAATAATATCATAACTAATAATGGAATTAATTAAAAACAATATTTTCCTGCAATGGAACTGTTTCCAAACCAACAGCTTTCACGTGTCTAGTTATACTATGGATACAGTATGTTTCTGGTGATCAAAAGGAAGTTTTTCTTTTTGGTGATTTGCTTACACTTGGGCTGCTTTAAGCTTAAAGAAACAGTAGGTCGAGAATTTTTAAGTAAATATGCAATAGAATCACAAGCTAAAAGAAATAGTCTTAAATTTACAGGAAAACTTCTCATTGAAGTATTTGCAAGTATCCAAATAAAGCTAAATACAGCACATTTCAGAATTTTTAGAGCTGCAGTAGTTGAGTAAAGAAAGGTTTGTTAGGCGGTTTAATTGTTTGACAGAGAATGGATTGCAAAGTAGAATTTTCCTTTGAGGAATGATTTCATGTTTTCATTTCAGACATACCTGACTTGTGATGGTTTCCTTAAAAAATCTTCCCTTTTCCCTCCACACAGTGAGCATGGCAACTAACAGGCTAATAGGTGCAGTGGCAGGGACCATTCTGGCCTTGGGGGTGATTTTTGGAGGCACAGGGTGGGGAATAGAGTAAGCATTTTTCTTAGTTTGAGTTTTATGTTTGGTGCCTAGTGTGTGAGGTAACCGTACGCACCTGAGCCCTCTGTGTATTACCCCATTAGCTTTGTCATGTGGTGACCGTATTTGTCGTGTGATTTGACTGTGTCTGTGTCATGTGATTTGCTCATGCAGTGTTGAACCCTCTCCTGTCTGGGATAATGTGGGGCATAACACGAGAAGTTTGTGAATTTTTATATTGTCACAATATAACTAAATGTCTAAATGTTTCCATTACCCCAAATTATAAAAATAATGGGAAAAATTTGAAAGCTTATCATTATTTTGCAAAATGGACTCAGAGCAACCTGGACTATTTGATATAATTCA